ATATAGAAATAGTGAAAACTGAGTCTAAGGGATCTATTATTTTTACTATAATTATAGACTATATGTCATTCATGAGAGTTCATATTTACTTACTATAGCTCTGGATATACATATTTATGTATTTTTACATAACACATAGTTTTAGAAATTTGATGACTAATAGAATATTAGTCAGTCTTGTAGTTCAGTATTTTTTCTACTATAGTGAACTAGATCTAGATGAATGCTACTATAAAGAATGAGTAAAGAGATAAACATAAATGGATAGAGGAGAGTCTACAGAATATACAATTAGTGAAAAATCTAGTATTACCTATAGTTTATCTTATATGTATAGTCTTGAAAAGGTCATCTCCTGTATTGACTAAAATTTCTCAAGAAGTCTCATGAGCTACCCCCTGCTAGCTGGAGAACCAGGAAAACTGGTGGTATAAATTTAGTCAAAGTCTTAAGGTCTGAGAACCTGGAGGCCAATGGTGTGAGTCCCATTCCAAGATTGAAGGCCTAAGAATTGGAGGGCTGCTAGTTTAAGTCTCAGATTTCAAAGGCCCCAGAACTTTGATATCCAAGGGCAGGAAAAGATGGAGAGAATTCACCTTTCTTTTTGACTTTTTGTTCTATTCAGGCCTCAATGGATTGGGTGATGCCCACTCACATTGGTAATTGTAGATCTTCTTTACTCAGGCTACTGATACAAATGCAAATCTCTTCCAAAAGCCTACTTGCAGATACACCCAGAAGTAATGTTTTACCAGCATTCCAGGCATCCCTTAGCCCAGTCAGATAGACACCTAAAATTAACCATCATACTTCCCAAACTGCTAAAATCAGCCTCATGATACAGCCTGAGAGACGCTACCACAAGCCAATTTCCTTGAAAGTCTGAGCTGCAGATGCATAGAGCTACACTTCTGAATTTCTAGCTTCCTTATACATTTATTTAAGGCAAACTTAAGTAGGAAATGTGAGTTTTTTAGAAGTTGGGATGAGGAAGGACAATGAATAATGTCAAAATGAGAGAAAGTGAAAAAAAAAAAAGCAAGCCTTGGTGTTCTGTTCTCAGGGTGCTTATGGTTGCCTAATGGCACTGATTATCCTTATAACGCACACAAATAAATTACTAATATTTTCCAATTTTTTTTGTTGGGCAGAGCCTATATAAACATAACTTGTAATATAAATAATAAAGTTATACTAAATATAGATTAGCTAAATAGAGATGAAAATTGTTTTTAAAATAATATGAGGATTTAAAAATCTGTAAATAAGAAATAAAAACCTCACAAGCATTTCTACCTTCTGCTTTCCCCATGCACCCACCTATACTCTTGCCATATTGCTTTAGCCATATTGCCAAAATCTTTTATATTTCTCATATCTTTTGTGGTTTGCTTCATGCTATTTAATTTATATGGAGCATTCTTCTTGATTTGTCCACCAGTCCAAGTCTTACACATCTGGTAAGGCCCAGACAAAGCCAGGATCAAATGTCTTATGTCTAAACCATCTAATGTCTAAACCATCTTAGAGAAGATCTAAATGTCTAAACCATCTTAGAGAAGTGTCCCCAACCTTCCTGTCAGTGTTGACAGCTTCCTTTGCTGGTCTCCCAAAGGCCTTATTTTATATATATATAAAATATCCATCCGATTCCAACACCAGTTCTGACATGTGTTTTTTCCCCCAGCCACCAAGCAGTTGTCCAACATCAGATGGGTGTCCTACAATTTAGCTCAATTCTGACACTACGTACCTGGAGGTTAAAGGCTTGGTCTTTCAAGACTATTCCCTCAACCCTACTTCAGATGCCAATTGCAAGTCCAGGTTATCACCTGTGCTTCTGACCAAAGCAGCTATAGATCAGAGGTTCTAATGAACTCCTAGGGTATGATCCATTTGCTAGAGCAGCTCACAGAACTCAGAGAAACATTTTACTTGAAGGATTACTGGTTTATTATAAGAAGATAACTTGGGAACAACCAGATAGAAGAAATGCATAGAGTATGGAATGTTGAAAGGGGTTATGTAGCTTCCATGCCCTCTCAGGCCATTCTCCCAACTCCTTCACCTGTTCACCAGACCAGAGGTTCTCCAAACCACATCCTTTTGGGTTTTTAGGGAGGCTTCATTACACAGTCATGACTGATTTCAATCATTGGCCATTGCTGATTGAACCAAACCTCTACCCCCCTCCCCTCCCCAGAGTTGGGGATAAGACTGAAAGTTCCAACCCTCTAATCACATGGTTGGCCCCACTGACAACCAACCCCATCATCAGGTGCTTTCCTAAAGTTGCCTCATTAACATAACAAAAGACACTTTTATGTCTCTCACCATCTAGGAAATTCCTGGTGTTTTAGGAGCTATATACCAGAAACAGTGGATGAGAACCAAATATATATTTCTTATTATCAATCACAATATCACAATATGATATATATAATATTGATATGACATTGATTTTGGCTCAAGTCGTGATCTCAGGGCTATGAGATCGAGCCCTGCATCAGGCTCCCTGCTCAGTGGGAAATCTGCTTGAGATTCATTCCCTCTCCTCCTCCCCCCCGCGCTCGCTTTCTCGTTCTCTCTCAAATAAAATAAATAAATCTTAAATATATATATATATATATAATATTGGCTATCTATTTCCATTATGACTGTGTTCTGCTAGTGTAGGGATCATGCTTTATTTATCTATTCCTGCAACACTGTCTGACATGTAGCTGGCATTCAAAAAATGTTTGATTCATGAGCAAGTAACTAAAAATTAAGTTGTGTTATGGCCATTAGCTGAGTACATTGACAAAGTATGTATATTGAAAACTCTACACAATAAGTAGTACATAAAGTTTTCCATGCTTAAGTTTCCCATAGTTAACAATTCAGGTTTTCTTTAAGTTATTTTCTATTTACGCAGAGTTGTTGCTACCATTTCAAAGCTCAGATTTGGGCCTAGTAACTTGATCAGGAGGAAAAAGGATTAAGAAATAAATAGGAAAGGCAATGGTTTATGTGGGCATGTCTACTGGAAATGTACTCCATATTCACTATTAAATTTTAAACGTACTAGATATTTGTTACATTCTTGTCTTCTTTTTCAGAACTATTACTTATTTCATGTGATTCCCCCCCCCCCAATTCTTTGAATCCTAAGACAAAAGATCTTGGATTTGATCTAGGTTTACTCAATGAACCACAGTGATTATTCTAAGAATACAATAAAAGATACATAAAAGGGCCAAGAAAATGTAGCACAACAGACAAAAGATCCAGTATAAGAAACGGAGAAAGCGGGGAAATGCATGTATTGAAAAGGAAGATTTCTAACATCATTTGATCACTTGGATATAGTGATGCTTGAATCTACCTATTCAATTTCAAGACTATGCTGCTAAGTAACTTTATAAACTTCTTTTGGGGTTAAGCTGGTTTGAGTTTGTTCTTGCTATGAGTTTTCATTATACCTCTTCTTGTTTTTGTTTTTGTTTTTCATTAGCACTGTTCTTCTAGAACCGATAACATAATTGGTACATTTCACATTGTAGAACACGATTATTAACATTGAAGATTTTTTTAAATCCGTAACTCAGGCTTCACTCCAAACAGACTAAACATTATTTATTAAGAACTAAATTCCATAGAACCTATAGTTAAAGGAACCTTGATGTCTTCCAGTCTACTCTTGGAACAAATGAAACAATTTCACCCATACCTTGGAGAGATAGATAGCCAGCTTAAGTCTTCATCATCAAGCGGGGACTCCCACCTTCACACTGTAGACTATGGCAATGATAAGGAGAGCATGGGAACTTCTTCATATGCCCACTCCAAATCTGCACTCTTGTAATTTCTGACTTCAGAATGATACTGAGTAAGCATCTTCTTTCTTACATCTGACAACTCATTACATAATCAGATATAGCTATTTTCTTTTCTCTTGTGTCTTCTTACTTCTGAGTTAAACTTATTTCAATTACTTATCTTACATAATATTGAGATGATTTCTTTCTTCCCATGGATGCTCTCTGTTTTGATTAGGTCATTTTTCCCCTAAAATGTGTTACCTTGAATCAAAATCAATTTGCAAAATGCTTTTCTGGCTGGCTTAGCATATAATGAAAACATTCCTAATTGTGACTATGATACAATGTAATTATTGTTGCAGTCTCACTCTGTGTTACATTTTAGGATGTTTTTGAACACTGTTGAGCTGTGGTCAACTAAAACCCACAGATCATTTACACACAAATTGCTGCAAACATTGAACTTTACTAACATGATAATGTAGAGAACTAAGCAATCTATCTACAGTTTGCTTCTCTGCATATTTTGTTAATCATAAACTATTTAGCACTATTATTTTGAAGGTCCTTAGCAGAATATTTTACAAACACAATTTAATCTAAGTTGACTGAAATACTTAATTATAGTAAGTGTACAGTAATCATACAAATGGCTAGTGGATTGCCTTTTCATTCTTAACTAAACTATGTAGTTGTTTATTTCATTAAATGAATCAAATAGGTTAATACCTTCGTAGACCCCAAATATCATGTTATATCATATTCTGAGAGCTAAATTTTCATCAACTTATATTTCATATGTTTTCTGATGGCAAAATTTAAATATGCTAACTTTAGAAAATTAGGAAGGTTACAACCAAAGGCATGAATTGTTCATAACTAATAGAGTAGAATATTTCATGTTTTAGTAATCACTCATTAAGACTTTGTGGACTTTTTAAAAAATATGTTATTTCTAAGTAAACCCAAAACAAGACTTGTGGCTGCTCTGAGAGCCTGTTAGTATAATTCCAAAAATGTCTGGATAACAGATCTTTTTGTCTATCTAGTTCCTGGGTGGGGTTCAGGAAAGTCCTTGGATTTTTTGTTAGTCAATGGGAGCCAAGAGTGATAAATGCAGGCTGACTTCATGTCTGTGTGCACTCTACTCCATGGTACTGATGTATATCTCAGAATACCAAGATTTATGAGGCGTACCTGGACCAGCGGAGGTAGTTCCTGGAGCAAAACCAGATCCATCCCTGTGCTGAACTTCATCAACCTAATGCATGACAGGTTGAGCCTGGATGGTAGCAGTGGAGTGTCCAGATGGCCTGAAATAATCATAATGTCTTAGACCATGATCCACAAGCTTATACCTCATAGTCATGCATTTTGGGGGCCAGAAATTGACACCTCCTTTGGAGAATGCTTCTGATCATGCTGCTGTGTCTCCTGACCATGCTGACTTCCTTCTGACTCTTTGCACATTTAAACTTTATTTACACTTGTGGGCTCTACATCTCTCCCTTTTATTATATATAAACTCATGATGAACATTTTTCTATATAGTAGTCATGCCTTTGTACCCTAGAAAGTACAGCATGCAAGAGAAGGAAAAGAGGTCTTTGTTTCTCATAAGAATATCAATCACTAACCCCATCACATTTAGAGGTAACAAGGTATGGAGTAATTAGAATATAATTTCTCTCCTTTTCATTGTTTTAGATTTTACTTTTTATTTTAATTAGTCTTTGTCTAAGTGGGGATTTCTGCTGTTATTGGCCAAATGACAGGAAAATATTTAAAGTGTGTTAATAAAAGGACACAAAGTACTTCACATAAGAAGCGCCAAGACCCTTCCAATACCAGAATATTCTGTGCTATTTGAAGTGCACTCTTGTAAGTTCTAGTCTACCTAGAATAACTCATGTTGGAGAAATACATATTTCCCATAATAAAGAAACCTTGCACAGAGAAGGCATCCTTTGGAGGTAAGAGCTGTGGTTTCCCAAACATGCCATTCTGCTGAGGCTCTGATAGGGAATATGTTCATGAGCATGTAGGCTTGTACTTTTTTTATCATCTATAATGAATCAGATGAGTATAATACAATGCAACTAGACTGTAACACACTCTGGTCTCTGCTCTCTTTCTGGCTTCTAATGTTATGTTTCATATTTGAGGACTGCTTGATTCTTCTTCCTTTGCAGATTTAAAAAAAATGTTTATTCTGGTTGAACTGTATTTTATTTATGCTCAAAATTCATATTTTATATCTGAATCTCATTTTTACCTTATCCTTGGCAATCCCCTTCTATATTCAGAATCTGGCATTTCATAAGTACAGGAATATTGTTTTTTACTACATATTTAATTACTGGGTTTGTTCAACTTCTCTCTTCTTTAGGCATTTTCCCCATCTTTGATTTTTAATGACATTTCTGTGTTTCATTTCTTCTACTGTAAATATTCATTATGCTATTCACTTATAGTTTTCTTACCCTTCCTTATCTCAACTATCTTCAATTTTATTTTTGCCACATGATAGCTAGCACTTTCTCCAATTTTGTTGGTCTCCTTCTCTTTGGTCACTCTGTGAATCTAACTGACAACATAAAGTAGATCCTTTCTAAGTATTTTGCTATTGTCACTCTTCAATTTGAATATTATTTTCTCCTTTGCTGATACAAAACATTTTCAGAGATCTCACTCTTACTTATTTTCAATGCCTCAATACTTCAACCATAAAGATCTCTCCTACTCAGAGTTTTGTCCATAAACAAGGTGGGATGTTTTCCTTGTTTCTCCGAATTGTGTATTTTGATATTAGGAAGTACTCCCTAACATAATAGCTTGGAAGACTGGTAGACATGTACAACTCATCCCTAAATTCCAGGTAGCAAGAATTATTTAATATTGTGTAGTTGTTTGATTAAAGAATAATGTTTTGTTTGGACTTTCTGGCTATCTTGAACAGTCTGAATTCTTTCTATTAAAGTGAGAGAGGGAGAAAGAGGGGGAGAAGAAGTGTGAATGATAATCAAGAGCTCTCAGCAAGAAGCTTTCCTACAAATTATCCCCACATACATTCTTTGCACTACTCAATTTGTATGCCTATGTAAAATTGCAAGGCCTGTTCACTAAGGCTTTGGATCTGTAGTATTTCTGGGAATCACTATGTAAGACAGGATGGGAAAAAATAATGTTATGGTTACGTAGACATGAGGAAAAACAAACAGTGGGTCATAGACAGTAGCTCCCAATAGTAAAGTGGCACTTTTCTGGTTGGTGTAGACTAGAAGTTTTCTACTTTTATGGGTGTATTTAGTTTGGTATACATAGTTCTTTCAGATTTTTTTTTTATTTGAATGCTGTTAGACAGGCTATTTACTTTATATATGAGCCCAACTTTCCCTATGGATGAGAATAGAGTCTGATTTACATGCTTATGTTGCCTACCTGTCTCTAACAGGTATCTGAATTTACAATCACAGGATAGAGCTCATGTCTACAAAAGAAGGCCAGCAAGTTTAATTGTGATCCATCCAGAGGACCAGCATAGTCCATACATTTGGATAAATTTTAGTCTTGTAATTCCTGAAAGTGTCTCCCAAATTTTAGGAATAGTGTGGCTCAATATTATTCTAAGTTTTGTCTTATGCTGCAGTACTACAGATATTTCAGTTGGAAAATTAATTTAATCATAAACTCAAAAACATATTTGCACTTTTTGATCCAATCAAATTATTTGATTCCTAGAAAGTTCCTTCAAGATAATTCAGTCTAATCACTTCATTTTATAGATGCATTTCAAGAATTTGAAATTATTTTGCAAAGATTATATTGCTTGTTTATAAAACTTCAAACTAGAAGCCAATATTCTTTGCATATTTTAGATATTTCATATTGAACTTGTTATTTTGCCAATCCTGTCCAGGACGTCCACTTTTAAGTTCTTTTAACCTATTTATTTTCTTGTTCTAAGGGCATACATGAAAACCATCATTTGAAAATTCATGTAGTTCTTATAAAATAAAAACAATTTTAGATAATCTATTTTTAAATTTTTAGAATCAGTTTCTAAAGCACCAGCACCAACCCCTTATTTTATTTTTTTATTTTTACCTAAAGTGCCATATAATCAATATCTTTGTGATCATTAAGACATTTTGTGGGTTGCGAAATATACTTGTCTAAATCATATCACCTTTACTCCTAATTTGTTTTCAATTCAGAGCACTTTGAATCCTTGTTTGTACGTTCTTTCTTTCCCCAAGCAGAAAGTCCTCACTTCTTATTTGTGATCTTCAAGACTTAATCACTTACTTAGTTACCATAAGTAATCTACAGAATATTTGCAGCAACCCACAGTTAAATTTGTGAAGTCAGAGCCAAAGGAATGAACAGATCTATCTTAAGCTTTTTTGCTGTTCTAAGTTTTTGTAGAAACATTACTGAGCTTTTTTTTTAAGCATTCAAAATTAGCATTAATTAAAGACATTGTAGGCTAATGTGTATTACCAATACAACTTTGTTAACAACAAAGTAACTGAGATAGTACCCCATAAAATGAAAATATATATATATATTTATATATACAAGAATTAAAATAGAAAGCAATTCTCAAGTTTTATAAGTTAATCCTTTCCTTTTATATGGGCATATATGACATTTTTTTTTTTTTGTCTTCTAATGTTACTGACAGAGAAAATTATGGGAAATGCCTGTATCCCCCCAAAAAAGGGACATTTTTGATGCTTTCAAGAGTAATCTTTGACTTTATTTAGGGATTTTACTGATGTTTGAATAATCTTTTATATTTATAGCTAGTGTCATTTGGGTAACCCTTTATGTACTGTTTAATTACTTTTTTTTTATTATGTTATGTTAGTCACCATACAGTACTTCATTAGTTTGTGATGTGTGTTCCGTGATTCATTATTTGTGTATAACACCCAGTGCTCCATGCAATATGTGTCCTCCTTAATACCCATCACCGGGCTAACCCATCCCCCCAACCCCCCTCCCCTCTGAAACTTCCTTTTCAACATAGTTTCAAACTCTCTTTGCCAGCTCATTGAGGGTTATGTCTTAGGTCCAACATTTTTTTTTTTTTTAGGTCCAACATTTTAACACAGTAGTGAAAAGCTCCATGATACATGCTCAAATAATATGCTTATTTACTGGAATTTATATTTACAAAAATGACCTTAAATTAATCAGAATATACTCTAGTTCCACTAAACAGATATCTAGTTTATCCTAACTAACCTTAAAGAAGATGTTAATATTTTATATCATATAGAAATACCGATTGACTATTCAATCATTATGATAATGAGTACTATAACTCCTAAATCTGCACACATCCTAAGACAATGAAAATTTCACCTCAGATACAATTTTGAGTGGATAAGATTTGGACAATATCCCTGGACTATTTGTCATGCCTTTCTTTCTTCACTTATTATTTCCTTTCAGCTACTGGATGTAAAAAGGTGGCAAGGTCAAATTCTTAAGTATATACCACAATTGGTAGAATTGATAAAAAAGATGACTATTTCTTAATACACCAGGTGTCAGAATATAAATTACTTACAATAATGGGCTCAAAATACTCAATTTGAAATTTATTTACAGTTAAATTTCTTTTTTTTATTCTTGTTATTTGCTAATGCTTATACATTATGAACTTTTCGTAAAATTAGAAAAGGAACTGGCCTTCTCTGTAGCTCCTTATATCCATCCACCCCACTTTACTTACAGGCATCATTTTTTTTTAATTAATTTTTTTTATTCTTATGTTAATCCCCATACATTACATCATTAGTTTTAGATGAAGTGTTCCATGATTCATTGTTTGTGCATAACACCCAGTGCTCCATGCAGAATGTGCCCTCCTCAATACCCACCACCAGGCTAACCCATCCTCCCACCCCCCTCCCCTCTAGAACCCTGTTTGTTTTTCAGAGTCCATCGTCTCTCATGGTTCATCTACCCCTCCGATTTCCCCCTCTTCATTCTTCCCCTCCCGCTACCTTCTTCTTCTTCTTTTTTTTTTTTCTTAACATATATTGCATTATTTGTTTCAGAGGTACAGATCTGAGAGTCAACAGTCTTGCACAATTCACAGCGCTTACCAGAGCACATACCCTCCCCAGTGTCTATCACCCAGTCACCCCATCCCTCCCACCCCACCCCCCATTCCAACAACACTCAGTTCTTACAGGCATCATTTAAATGCATTCTATCCTCAGTAGTACTCTCTATAGTTCTAACTCGTTGAAATTGAAAGCCTAACTGCCCAGAGCTTATGTCATAGCAATTTCCCTTTCTGTCCTGGATTCGAATGTCTTTGTAAAGGAGCCTAGCTATATATGCACTACTCTTTGGCGAAGCCCTATTACTATTCTGATTCTGCCCGATCCATGTATTTCAAGACAACCAGTAACTTGACAAAACACATTCACATGCCTGTATAGCTTCAAGGACATACCTGAAATTAAGTAAAGTAACCACCTCAAAACAAAAACTTCCTTTCGTCCTAAAAGTTGGCTCCCTTATACCAGGCTTAATAATTGTCCATTGCACTAACCAGGGACAGTATCTAAGAAATACAGAGTTAAACACTTTTTTTTCTTCTTCTCCTTCTCTTATCCATTAGGACTTAGACACCAAAGAAATAT